TAACATTAATGATGATAGCAATAATAGTGGTAATGGTGATAGTAATAATAATAATAATGATATCAATAATGACAAGAATAGCGATGGTAATATTGATGAAAATAATGATAGCAATAAGAATAATCGTAATAACTATTAGTATAAATAATAATGATATTAATAAAGGTAATGGTTAGGATGTTACTACTAATAGTAATACCACTGATAATTATAATAATAATCATATTAGTAATGGTAACAATAGTGATAGTAATGGTGGTGATGATGATGATGATAATAATAATAATGATAATAATAATCATAACAACAACAATAATAAGTATATGATAGATATAATTATGATAATTATGGTGGTAGTAAAGATCATAGAATCAACAACGATTGTGATAATCAACAATAATAATGACGACAATTGCACGAACAATATCCACAGCAACAACAACAATAGCAACGTAACATGTAGCAACAGAAGTCACGATATAAAACATTTCAGGGTAAAGAGAGAGTAGGGCAGTGGGCGGAGCTACAGGAGATCAAGGGTATAAAGCCCAAATGCAGTGAGTTTTTTCCATCGTCTCCCCCTCCTCGTCTCTGGAAATATTCTCAAACTTTTTGCTCGTCTTCCAGATATTGTTCAGAGGAATAGCCATGAGAATAACCATCTTGTTTGGTGAGTTATATGGTGAACTACAAATGACGACTGTGCTGTGGTTATTTTAGATCAAATGTTGCATAGTCAATAGGGATTCTAAAGTTAAGTCTTTTTTCAGGTCTGGTGGCCATCGCATCGGCCGAGGTATTGCCTCCCACCTCCTATGGAGCCCCGAACGGAGGGTTCTCGAACGGTTTTGGAGCTGCGAACGGAGCCTCAAACGGTTTCGGTGCCCCAAGTAATGGCTACTCAGCACCAAGCAACTCCTATGGACTGCCAAATGGCGGATACGGAGTAGACCCTGAGATCGCCGCTCTCAGTGAGAACATTCCAGGGGGCGGCGTCCCCGGCGAGGACTACCCCATCTTGGCTTCCGTGCCCGACACCGGCTTCTCCTGCGATGCCCAGCGGTGCAAGGTTATTACGCCGACACTGCAGCTGAAGCCGGCTGCCAGGTGTTCCATATCTGCCAGGACCGCGCCCTCAGGCGCCAACAGGACTCCTTCCTGTGCCCCAACGGTACCATCTTCAACCAGCAGTACCTGGTATGTGACTGGTGGTTCAACGTGGACTGTTCTCAAGCTGAGAGCTTCTACTCCGTCAACGAGCTCATCGGAGTCGTTCCCGACGCCGGTTATGCTTATGCTGCCGCCACCAACGGCATCCTCAACGGAAACGGAAACGGATATGGATCCAACGGCAACGGAGGGAATGGAGCTAACGGAAGGAATGGCAACGGAGCCACCAATGGAAACGGATATCGCTCAAACGGCAACGGCAACGGTGCCAATGGCTTCAACGGCAACGGCAGGAACGGCTACGCTGCTAATGGCAACGGCAACGGAGTCTCCAATGGCAACGGCAGGAACGGCTATGGTTCTAATGGCAACGGAGCGAACGGTGTCAATGGAAATGGTCTCAACGGCAATGGATATGGATCTAATGGCAACGGTTTCGGAAGAAGCTCACTGAATGGCAACGGCAACGGATACAACGGGAATGGTGCAAATGGAAATGGCAATGGTGTTAATGGCAAACTCAATGGCAACGGCAATGGCGTTAATGGCAATGGAAATGGATACAACGGCAATGGTGTTAATGGAAATGGGAACGGATACAATGGCAATGGTGCAATTGGAAATGGTAATGGAAACGGTAATGGCGTTAATGGTAACGGTAACGGTGCTAATGGTAATGGAAACGGGTATAACGGCAATGGTGTAAATGGAAATGGCAATGGTGTTAATGGCAAACTCAACGGCAATGGAAGAAGCGCCCTGAATGGCAATGGAAACGGGTACAATGGTAATGGCAATGGTGTTAATGGTAATGGCAATGGCAATGGTAATGGTATTAATGGCAATGGAAACGGGTACAATGGCAATGGTGTTAATGGTAATGGCAACGGCAATGGTGTTAATGGTAATGGAAACGGTAACGGTGCTAATGGTAATGGAAACGGGTATAACGGCAATGGTGTTAATGGAAATGGCAATGGCATTAACGGCAACGGAAGAAGCGCCCTGAATGGCAATGGAAACGGGTACAATGGCAATGGTGTTAATGGTAATGGCAACGGCAATGGTATTGGTATTAATGGCAATGGAAACGGGTACAACGGCAACGGCAATGGTGTAAATGGAAATGGCAACGGCATTAACGGCAAACTCAACGGCAACGGAAGAAGCGCCCTGAATGGCAACGGCAACGGCGCCTCCGCCCTGCCGTCCAGCTCCTACGGTGTCCCCAGCGCCCCCTTCTGAGTCCCGAGTGAAAGCGGCGTCCTCTTCCCCGGAATCCTGATTGGATCTCTTTCAAATATGTATATTTTTGATGCTCGGAAAGATATATTTTTGCAAGAATAAATATCGCACGATTATTTTGTTTTATAATCCCGGTGCTGTTAAATGGCAGTGATGGTATTATGTAGAGTCTGTAAATTGGTTTGGAAAAGTTAATATTATGTGCTCTCTCTCTCTCTCTCTCTCTCTCTCTCTCTCTCTCTCTCTCTCTCTCTCTCTCTCTCTCTCTCTCTCTCTCTCTCTCTCTCTCTCTCTCTCTCTCTCTCTCTCTCTCTCTCTCTCTCTCTCTCTCTCTCTCTCTCTCTCTCTTCTCTCTCTCTCTCTTCTCTCTCTTTTTCTTTCTTTCTTTGATAATGGCTGTGTACAAAAATATGATGATCATGAGCGTGAATTGGATTTCATCAGTAGAATAACGGTAGTTGATGAATTAATGCTTGAGATATTTTGACTGAAACATTCATCCCAAACAGTTGCAAAAGATTAATTTATATCTTTCCATTTTTTCTTGGGAGGAACTTTTCAATTCTAAAGGTTTTAGACTCTTAGAAACTTATCAATTTTATTCACATCATTGATAAGTATGATCGCATTGATATCTCGTTTGTCAATAATTTTCTAAATTTATCAGATCCATCAAATTCAAAATTCTGATTGTCTGGAAGTATACTTTTCGCAACAATATTCCGGTCTTTAGCTGCTTTTAATCGGTAACAAATGCTTATTGCACAAACTTACACTTTTATGCAATCATACACGATATATGAATATGTGTGTGTGCGTGTGTCTATATATATATATATATATATATATATATATATATATATATATATATATATATATATGTATATATGTATGTATGTATGTATGTATGTATGTATATATATATGTATATATATATATATATATATATATATATATATATATATATATATATATATATATGTGTGTGTGTGTGTGTGTGTGTGTGTGTGTGTGTGTGTGTGTGTGTGTGTGTGTGTGTGTGTGTGTGTGTAAACATGTATGTATATATTTACATTCACATATATGAAAATATTTCTACATAAACATATATGCAGGTACACGTATGCAAATAAGTAAAGAGATAGCAATGATAGTTGAGCACGATGCACGCCGCGTGTTGCAGAGAGAACGGCAAAAGGGTAAACTGGGGGAGGAGACCGAGGAGGGAATGGAAAGAACGAAAGTGATAACGAACGGTAAGTCACGAATCCGTGTAGTGCAGACGGGGAACGTGCGACGAAGGTGCTAAACATCTTTACATTTTCTCGGTTTTCATGATCAGAAGATAAAGAGGGTTTCCCGAATGTTCTCGCAATACTCTCGTCAATATAATGTATGTCTGATCGTCACAACTTTTCTTATTGTTGAAAATTATTCGTAAGAGAAGTGAATGGTTCCAATATGCTTGTTTTCATTTGCCCGCAAGGCCGTTTTTAGCTAATGGTAGGTTATTTCATTAATATAAACTAACATAGGACCACGCCAGTGATTGTCATCTTTAGTTATAGTAATGATATAGGATAGTTTATCAATATCATTTATAATGCGTGTGTGTGTTTGTGTGTGTGTAAATAGTATATATATATATTATATATATATATATATATATATATTATATATAATATATATATATATGTGTGTGTGTGTGTGTGTGTGTGTGTGTGTGTGTGTGTGTGTGTGTGTGTGGTGTGTGCACGTATGGGTGTGTGTATTATTATTATATTATGGTAGACTATCATATACATATATGTATTTATATATTATATATATATATATATTATATATATATATATATATATATATGTTTATGTATTGTAAATTGTGTGGGGAACGACTCCGATGAGCTCGTTGACGGAGTAGAAGCTCTCAGCTTGAGAACAGTCCACGTTGAACCACCAGTCACATACCAGGTACTGCTGGTTGAAGATGGTACCGTTGGGGCACAGGAAGGAGTCCTGTTGGCGCCTGAGGGCGCGGTCCTGGCAGATATGGAACACCTGGCAGCCGGCTTCAGCTGCAGTGTCGGCGTAATAACCTTGCACCGCCTGGGCATCGCAGGAGAATCCGGTGTCGGGCACGGAAGCCAAGATGGGGTAGTCCTCGCCGGGGACGCCGCCCCCTGGAATGCTCTCGGCCAACTGATTTTTCTCCAGAAGTACTACTTACTAACTTCTGTAAATCACCATTCGCTACACAGCATGTCCAAAAGCAGGTAAAGTTTATATTTCCAAATGTAAAATTAGAAAGATGAAGATATGCAAAACAATCTGAGAAAGAAAATAATAATAATAATAATAATAATGATAATAATAATAAAGATGAAGGAGAAAGAAAAGTGAGGAAGTCTTGTCAGGAGTCAAGGGGTAACGAGGAACTCCAGTTGCGCAGACTTTATCATTCGCCTTCCCGCTAACCCCGCCCACTCGCTGCAGGAACTCCCGTGAAAATAGTGCATCACTACATTCTTTTCTTGACATGAAAATGGGTTCTTGCATTTCATCTTTATGAAGTCGTGTATGTTTTATTATTATTATTATCATTATATCTGCGTTTGGGAAAAAAAGAAATTTGAGTTGGTTTATATGGATATATATATATATATATATATATATATTATATATATATATATATATATATATATGTATGTATGTATGTATGTATATTATATTATATATGTATATATATATGTATGTATGTATATATATTTATGTATGCATATATGTGTGTGTGTGTGTACATATATTTTCACACACACACACACACACACATACACATACATACATATACATATATATATATATACATATATATATATATACATATTATAATAATATATAGATATATAGATATAATATATATGGGGCCTTTTTGGAAGCATCTCGAAATTCCAAACACTTTGACAAATGTTTCATGTTTTATCATGGTCGCTATAAAACACGATTATCATCGAAGTTTGCACTGACATACAATAGAAAATCATTATACTACTTAATATGCAGGTATGCGATTAAACTACGAACAAAATATTGTAAAATCAAAGAAAAAAGGAAAAAGTACTTGACTCCTCTGTAAATATAATGGTTTATACACTCTTCTTCGCTTCGCAAGGCTTGGAAACTTTCAAAAGTATTTCTCAGATCCATTCAAAACATTTTTTATTATCAAATACATTCTTCTTCATATGGAAAGTGGAAGCTGAATGAGGCTTTGCATTTTATCATATGCTACCAATGATCAAAGGTATTTGCTTGTCTTATTGATTAGATTATATCAACAAATAAAGATACACAGTCTGTTCTGGGATATTTTTGAGTAACTATATATATAAATATACATATGTGTGTGTCTGCGAGTGTGTATGTGAATATGTGTGTGTGTGTGTGTGCGTGATATATATGTATATATATATATATATATATATATATATATATATATATATATATATATATATTATATATATATATGCATGTGTGTGTGTGTGCATGTTCATAGGTGCGGTTTCTTAAAAGAGAAACAAGAGACAAACGGCGAAAGAAGCCCTAAGCGGTCAAAAGCAGAGAAATGGCGTCCCTCTCTTTTAGGAACTATAAAAGATTATCTTGCACTTTGCATTCACGTTCGCTAAAATTTAAAATAATAATAATAATTTAATTGCCCTCTGCACTTTACTCATGTTTTCCTTCTTTATTTTCAATAACTTATCCATCATTTTTTCTCCTATCTACTCTGCTATAGCTCCCCCTCCTCCTCCTCTTCCCTTTAGCACCAAGCCAAGCATTTTTTTTTTTTTTTCGACGATTCATGGAAGGCGAACCGGTTTACATTCTAACACTACGTATATTACATCTTGCAGTTTCTGAGGAAAACATGTGACCTTAATGAGAACTTTTATTCTATTTATCTTATTTTATTTTTTATCTATTAGGAAATGGAGTTCGTTTAGTTTTTAAGCAACGTGAATTATTGAGATTTATAATTGTTGGGCATTCAGGAGTATAAGTAAATTCATACATTCCTTTGACTTTGAAGCGTAGTATTTTGGCATATTTTTTTCAATATAGCAAAAGAATATGAACTAACATAATCTTCATATACCGCAGGGGTATTTCGGTCAATTTGTCCAACTGTTCTCAGGGGGTAACATAAACTTTACTTAGATTGTATATCTTTTATGTATGAAATATATAATTCATGATAAAGACACATGAAAAGGAAAAAATATAATTTTTAGTACTCTGTATGTATGTACAAAAGTCAAAGTGGATTCCTCGCGACGGATCAGAAGGGGGCGCCGTAGGCCTGGGAAGGGACGCCTGCCCCGTTGCCGTTTCCGTTGCCGTTGATTCCGTTTCCGTTGCCGTTGAGACCATTGCCATTGGAGGTATAGCCACCCCTGCCATTGCCGTTCGAGCCATTGCCGTTGATACCACTGCCATTAGCACCATAACCATTGTTTCCATTTCCAGCGGATCCGTTTCCATTGACTCCGTTGCCGTTAGAGCCGTATCCGTTTCCGTTCCTGCCGTTCGTGCGACCGTTTCCATTACCATTCTGTCTTCCATTAGCTCCGTTGCCGTTGCCATTAGCAGCAGGTCCATAGGCGTATCCGGTGGCGTCGGGATCGACTCCGATGAGCTCGTTGACGGAGTAGAAGCTCTCAGCTTGAGAACAGTCCACGTTGAACCACCAGTCACATACCAGGTACTGCTGGTTGAAGATGGTACCGTTGGGGCACAGGAAGGAGTCCTGTTGGCGCCTGAGGGCGCGGTCCTGGCAGATATGGAACACCTGGCAGCCGGCTTCAGCTGCAGTGTCGGCGTAATAACCTTGCACCGCCTGGGCATCGCAGGAGAAGCCGGTGTCGGGCACGGAAGCCAAGATGGGGTAGTCCTCGCCGGGGACGCCGCCCCCGGGAATGCTCTCGGCCAGAGCCGCTACTTCGTCGTCCTGTCCATATCCGTTAGTTGGTGCTCCATATCTATTGTTTGGAGCTCCGAATCCATTGCTTGAGGCTCCGAATCCGTT